TTTCTTTTCTTTTTTTTTTCCTATTACAATTAGGAACATTTTTTTTCAGAGAAACAAAATCAATTAATATGAGAGAAACTAAAATATTTTTCCGATGAAGTCTCTTAAACAACTTTTTATATATGATTTACAGCTATATTTAGCATTACTTATTTTTAATTATTACTATAATAAAGGACGAAATTCGAAATGTTTTTCTTGATTGGAAGGGGAATATGAATATAATTTGGAAGGGGAATATGAATATATTTATGATCATTAGGAATAATTAGTGATATTATCTGAGCTTATCTTAAAAAAAGAAGAAGAGAAGTAATAAGAATATATTTTTAAAATTTTTATTCCTGTTAAGTATTTTTTAAAATGAATTCAGGATGAAACACAAATCCTTTGCATGCATGGAAAACAGCACGATTTATGGACTTAATAATATAATTAACTTTCCTTTTCTTGTTAAAAAAATAAATTTAATAAATAAAACTATAGAAAAAGAGAAATTAAAGTGGGAGTGTGATTAAAGCCCGCCTTGTCATCTTCGTATACAGTTTTACACAGTTAAAAAGACTTCTCTTCTCTCTCTATCAGTCTCTCTCTATCTTTCTTTACTCAGTTCTCGAGCTCTGCATAAGCGTACAGTGGCGATGTCCCCGTGTTTCACGGTCCACCGTAGCCTATGCAGAGCCCCTCCTGCAATCGGCTTGCTTTACCTCTCTCTGCTTCTCTCCTCATTCTTGATAGCTCATGCACAGGTGCTTGCATCTCTTTCTTTTCTTTATTTTTATTTTTCATGATCTGTACAATTTATAACAGAATTTTGAGTCAATCCCATAGGTGTTACAATCCTGTACAGAAGCCACAAATTGTGGGCCAGGTCTTTATTGTGGAAATTGCCCTGCTTTAGGCAAGACTCAACCCATTTGCACCAGAGGCCAAGCTATCATACCTAATTCTTTTGTATGTTTTTTTTGGTTTAATTTTGTGTTTTTGATTATGGGTTTGGGTTGTTTTTAGCTAAAACACTGTAAAGATTGTGTCTGTTTTTGTGTGCGCTTTTGCAGATAAATGGGTTGCCTTTTAATAAGTATACATGGTTAGTTACTCATAATTCTTTTAGCATTGTTGATGCACCTCCTTTGCCTGGTGTTCAGAGGCTTACATTTTACAATCAAGAAGACACTGTGACAAATCAGTTGAGGGTATGTGGTCCTTGTTCTTCCTTTTGTTTTTATTTGGTTTCTTTTTTTTTTTTCCATTTTTCCTTGTTGACTTGTTTGGCTACTCAGAATCTGGATGCGAGAGAAAAACTGAAATGAAAATTTTGAGCTTTTCGAGTATTCAACTATGTACTGGTGCTAAGTTGGATGACAATTAAATGATGAATTCTATATTTCGTTCCTTTCCTGTGCTTAATTTCCTGGCAATTAGACAAGCTAATCGATTCTTTTTCGTAGACATTGATGAATATTTTACTTATCATTAATTGTCTTTTTTTTTTCATGGTTGTTTGTTAGAATGGTGTGAGGGGGTTGATGTTGGATATGTATGATTTCGAGGGCGACATCTGGCTCTGCCATTCATTTCGAGGGCAATGTTACAACTTCACTGCGTTTGTATACATCTTTCCATTTTACCAATTTAACTAATTTGAAATTTGTTAATGGTTTTTGTAAATTGGTTTATGACGTGCCCATCTGGATTTTTTTTAGCAACCTGCAATAAACACTTTGAAGGAAGTGGAAGCATTCTTGAGTGAGAATCCAACTGAGATTGTGACAATTATCATTGAGGACTACGTCCATACTCCAAAAGGCTTGATAAATTTGTTCATCAATGCTGGTTTGGATAAGTATTGGTTTCCTGTGTCTAAGATGCCGAAAAAGGGAGAAGATTGGCCCACTGTGACAGAGATGGTGCAAGAAAATCACCGGCTTGTGGTATTCACTTCTATTGCTTCAAAGGAAGCAGAGGAAGGAGTTGCTTATCAATGGAAATATATGTTGGAAAATGAGGGTAAGCATCATGTTCATAAATATCTATCGGTGTTATAAAGTTTGCTTGGAGGTGCATGGTCCAGTAACAACTGCATGATTAATTGAATTTCAGCTGGAGATCCTGGGGTAAAACCAGGCTCGTGCCCAAGCAGAAAAGAATCAAAGCCACTGAATTCCAAAAGTGCATCACTTTTTTTAATGAATTACTTCCCAACATATCCTGTTGAAACTGAAGCTTGCAAAGAGCATTCAACTCCACTTGCTCAGATGGTTGGTACCTGCTATAAAGCAGCTGGAAATGTGATGCCAAATTTTCTGGCAGTCAACTTTTACATGGTATTAGTTCTACCATGCACTAATAGATGTGAAATAAACATATCCTATTTAAGCATTCTAACTGGGATGAATATGGTGCAGAGGAGTGATGGTGGTGGTGTTTTTGATGCTATGGATAGAATGAACGGGCAGGCATGTGGTTGTAGCACTGTGACTGCTTGCCAGGTCTATCCATTTTACCTATGTAATATTAACTGCCTTACTTCCACACTGTGGTTTAGCTGTTTCTGGAAACAAAGAATAAAAAATTTCCAATTCTGACAAATTTCCAAATGCATGCCTAATTAATTTCGTTTGAATATTGGTCTATTTAATTTGGGGTGCATTTTTCAATCTAGAGTTGGATCACAATTAGCCACAACCTTGTGAGACTTGCTTCATATCCCCTTCCATGGGAGAGTTATTCTTGTGCCATGATAGGATGATGAGTAGGAGTTTTGAATAAATGTTTAAAACATATTCATGGTGTATTGTCACTGTGACAGGTTAAAGGATTTAATATGACTTGCCATGACATAAGTTTTGAACTTGACTTTTTCCTTGCTTTTTTACTTTCATTCAACAAAAAGCAATGGATTCTTGTTTTGGTTATGGCTTGGACAATATAGTTTGATCACTTTTGAGTCCTGGGGTTCCATTTGTGAAGGGCTATTGACTAGTTATGGTATTAGAATGTGAATAAATTTGATTGCTAAAGATGCCATATTATGGTCTTTTGCAGGCTGGAGCACCTTTTGGATCTTGCAGTAATGTTACCATACCTAATTTAAGTCCTGTAACAAATACCGCGGGAAGTACAAGCCCACTGTCAAATACTGCAGGAAGCTTTAGTGGATCTGTTCAATTCTCGAAATCTGCATCAAAAATCCAATCTCCAAATAGCTCTGTTTTGTTCTTGTTCTTTTCTATTGGAAAAATCTTGATCATATTATGGATACAGTGAATGATTTCTGGATGGAGGTTAGGGATCCACTCTTTTCCTTAGATGACTAGGGAGTTACTTCTTTGGTAGAGATTAATAGTTTCTGTATGTATTCTCCAATAATAACTGGTATACCATGTCCCAGCCTTATTGAGAGAAAGGTAAAGGACTACTTTCCAGAGATATGAAATGTGATTGTAAACAAAGAACTTTTGAGATTCTTATATTGAGGCAAAAAAGTAAGGAGTTGCACAGGAATCCGAGGTAGATAGTGTCCAAAAGTAACCAGAATATGTCATGGTATGCAGTGGCCATCAGTGACCAGAATATGTCATGAAAAGGTTCAGGTATGTAGTTTGCTTCGCTCTAAAGGTTGTGTGGTTCTTAAAGAATTGCCATTATCTTACTTTTAGCAACATTAAACATCTGTGTTCCTGATCTTAACTTAAACACGATTTAGATTTCCATAAACCTTATAATAAAAGCCTCAAATAAGTGTACAAATATCTGGATATATTGCATTTTGAAGCATGCCAATATGAGGACTTTTTATCTGAATTTGCGTTCTTGTAATTGCAAACCAAGACTTTTGCCATACTCATTAAATTCTGCAGGCTGCATATAATTATTATTATTAACCATAAACTTAATCTCCAACTTTCGAAATTTTTTTCTGACTTTTCATAAACTCGCTGTTCTCGCTATTCATCTTCATGGCTATTAGCAATTGCATTCAATTTGATATGGTCAAATGCTGCTCATATCCTGTCAAAAGTTGATTAATCGTGTAAGATTTATGGGTTCTACTGGTAGAAACTGAATTACCTCGAATTTCAATTTGAAAATGCTAAAGATTCTAGCAAACGATGCCAAGTGGTAGTCTCTTCTTTATTATTCTGAAGGAGTTGGGTGTTGGTTCAAGTGGTAAAGGGGTTTGGCAGGTTCTAGATATTATTTAGAAACTTACCAATTACAACACAATATATTAATCTCTCTCTGGTAATCTGCATTCTTGTTCTTCCCTGATTCAGTATATACTTTATTTCTAGGCACTAATTTTATTTTGTTCCTGGTTTTCTTCAATCTCTTCATTTAAACACCTAATGTCCTTAAAATATGCACATGGGTCCTTTAAACTAATGAGGAAACAGATAAGCATTAACATTGTAGCAGCTCTGCAAGTACTGCATACTCTCTGGACTGCACACAGTTATGGCTAAATTCATGTGTTAAAAGCTCATATTCTTCTTTGCTTGTAAGAAGAATTCATGTTTATGTTTCTTGTTTTGACAGATTCTCTCTTCATGTTCTTCAGGTTGTCTGTTGACCATAGTATTTAGCGGTTGGGGTAGAATGGAGCTACTGTTGAAGTTTTTCCATTACATTACTAGTTTCACTCAACATTTTCTATTGGTTTGCTCGCCCACTTATATTTGGGCCATTATTATCCTCTGCATATCACCATCTGAAAAATGTGAAACATGTAGGCTGTCAGGATAAGGAGTTCTTCGAGGGCTTGTCTTCTAGAATGAAATAGGTCATGTTGTTTCCCATGTCTCGGTGAATTCTAGCAATTGGAATAAAAAAGCATGACGGCTTGGTTCTTGAGAATTATATGCAAGGGATAGAACAATACATAATAAGCACAACAACAGTTATGAAATCAAAATCTTAACGCATCTGCAGGGCAATACTGTTTGTTAGTTCTGCCTTGTTATTTTTTCGCAAACAGAAATCATAACCTGCATAGATTGAAAACCCAGAAGATTCATCTGCATAAAGCTCAAATCTTGACGTATACTATACAAAGCCAAATTTCATAATTTACGGATAGGAATAATTAACTTCATTGGTACAGAGGAAGAATCTGAAGGATATTCCCAGCTGTTTATTGGAACCATAGGCTCATGATAATGATTGAAACATGTAGCAGAAATAATAACCATACAGGAGCAATGAACACTGTTTAATAGTGCTTAAGGGGGTTAAATTTGAAGGGCAGGACTAATGTTAGGCAATTCAATGAAGAAATGTACAGGAATTCTGGTTCCCCATACGTTAAGAAAGAAAGAAGACCGATTTCTGTTACATGGCGGTAGCTCCATAGGACAACAGTCTAGAACGAAATAAGATGCAAAGTCATTTTCAGTAAGATCACTTTCTAGAGACCAGTATTAACATCAGTTAAGCAAGATTTCATCCTTCGAGCAGTTCAATTGTTAGACCATCACTGCCATTTGACAAATAAACATGGAAGCATCTAAAAATATGTTCAAAATGGAATTCGGGGTGATGTCATCAGGGAACTCACCTTTAAATGTGGAAAGCTATCTGCGATAGCAAATAAAGACTCATCTCTGATAAAAGTACCACCAGTGTCCAGGTGTTGCTAGGAGTTGGCCCTTGAAATCTGTTGAAGCTTGAAGAAAGCTACGAAATACTTCAAGGTTGAATAATTTTGCATGATTGGAGACTAGTACAGGCACCAAAGCTTACCACATGAAGTTCTACACTAATCAAAGTTACAGTTATCGTCTATCACATGCCAGTTTAACGACACCCCTGTTGGTGATCCTGGCCATGCCCCGTAGACATGGATTTCAGTTTGCCCAATAAATTTGGTCCGGTCCATTGTCAGTTATCTGGCAACCCCACCGGCTCCTTGAATTGAAAATAGAAAAGGCAAATGAGAAATTATTTTCAAGCTATTGCCAATTCAAGCTCCGAATAACCAATTCAACCACTATATCTATTGAACACAAATAATCATCCAACAGGCGATGTTAATAGCCAAATCAACCACTATACACGTATAACTATTGAAGGCTTTGGCTGTTCTAGGCAATAGCGTTCACTGGGCAGTCAAAACGGGAAACAAGTTGGATGTTTCTCAAGCCATCCCACAAAAAAATAATATCTAAAATCTTAAAAGATATCAAAGCCAGAGACATGACTGCTTATGCTTGAATCTTTCAAGAACGTAAAAGCCTTAGTTTCAAACAAAACACAAAATCACAAAGAAAAAATAAACCAACTTTCCTGACCTCTTGCAAACATTACATTTTTCTATTGAACAAAGTTCCAATCTTGTACTGGTTTAATCAACTATCAGCAAACAACTCATAAGATAAAAATTATCACCAAGTCTCAATCATTAATTGAAAAAGGACAGAGGCATACATGTCGAGTTCTTTCAGGTTGTAAGCAAGGCGAACAAGACGGGCAGTGGAGTCATCATCCATCTTCCAACCAGAAAGCTCAAGCTGTTTCTTTGTGCCAAATATTGCTTCACCCCTTCTTTCCATTTCCTGCAAACACAACTTGCCTGGGCTAAATCAGTGAAGGGAGTTATCAAACCAAATATATAAGCCAGCATGTCTATTTGTAAACGATCAATCTCTGCCTCTTCCTTCTCCATATAGATTTTCTTTCTTCGTTTCTTTCAACAAAGAAACATAGAAGTTAAGAGGGAGAAGACTTCTTTGAGTTTAGGCTTCTTGTTGCACGTAGAAACAAGCAGAATGGGCACTAAGAAATTTATGAAATAATAATAATTATTAAGGCAAATATAAAGAGACAGAAAGTGGCCATTTTTTTACATCGTAAGATCATATCACCATTTCTCTCGGTTTTTCACCAAACAAAACAAAATAAAGATTATTATTATTTTATTAACCATGCTTAATTTAATAACTAAAAGTTAATAAATTATAAATTAATTTGTAATGAATTAAATAATTCTATCTAGTTTCAAAAACTGATCAATTAATTCCTTAACGAGTGTTAACCAGCTTAATTTAATATTATTTTGTTTAAAAATGTCTATACGGTATTAGCTTTTGTGTGTATAGGTCTCCAATAAAAAATTTCAGGGTGAAGAGTTTGTTATAGAAAACAATTAGCTGAGTAATTGCGTAGTCCAAGAAGTTGATCTAATTCTCTTGAATTGAGCTCTCTTACGTAGATTTTCAAGAAAAATTATGCTTTTAAAATATAATCTGTATTTGTTTTCTCCGTTTCATATTTGGTCTCAAAAGATCCTAAGTTGCTCAATTAATAGGCATTAATAAATCAAATTGATGCTATAAGATGCAAAGAGTATAAATAAAAGCAATGCTCATAGGCTACTAATCCTGATAAAAAACCAGTTTAGTGATTTTATAAGTATTACCCAGCTCAACCATCAACTAAAAATAATGCGCGTGTTGAAAGTATTATATAGCAGGTTCATGAGTATAAGTATATATTCAATATAGATAAATCAATAATAATAAAAAAACAATATATAAGATATAAATACACAAGAATAAATTATACAAGCTTACACATAAACACACACACTTAACATAGGGATAAAATTTTTAATAAAATTTTACTTTCAGTGTGGCAGTCTAGTTCCACACTAGACTCATCCTTCCTCACAATTTAAACTCGTGTTTAGCCTATGCACTAAGATGTTTCACACACTTAAAGAACTTTTCTTGAAGCCTTTCAAGTAATAGACAAATAACAACAATACAAGTCTTAAAATTCATAACTATAAACACAATTTATAGAAAAACACTCCTAACCTTTATTAATTCTGAAACAAAGGATACAAAAAACTCCTTTATTAATTCTGAAACAAAGGATACAGAAAATTATTTGTTTATGCCATTCATAATTCTGCTTGTATACTTATTTGTTTATGCCATTCACAATTCTGCTTGTATACTTATTTGTTTATGTCATTCACAATTCTGCTTATATACTACACATCATTGGTCCTTTTTTTTTTTATTATTACAAGAGAACATGGAAGTACATATAAAACCGTCACCCCTAAACAGATTTATACAACTAGACAGTTTAGCAAAAACAATAACTGTCGAGAAATTGCCTCCAATCACCTATGTTGTAACTTTCCTTGGTCTGCCACCTCATAGACCTTCAAGCTAGTCAGTTGAGCCTTCTATGCCAACCTAGTAATGCTTCTGCACGTCTTGAACAACCCTTTATCCAAATCTAAAGTCGTGCCGAACATGCTATCAATATTCGCATGCATCCATTATGCACTGCTACCGAGATGCTAATAGTGTTCTTGTTGGGGCGCCCTCATGCTTAGAACTGTGACAAACCACCTTTACCTAAAGAGTCTGATGCCCTCGTTAGAATCGATGTGAGGTAATCTCGCACTTTGTTTTCACACTACCACAAGCTAGTATTTTTCTCCCATGAAACCTTTTCATTTCTCACCCATTTCACTAAACATTTAGTCTTTTGATTCTTTCTATGTTGCCCAAGCCTACGATGATCCATTATTCTAACAATGTCATCGTCAAACTACTTCTGAATCGTTGGAGGAGCACGGTGTGGCTTGTTTCTGTCCGGGTCCTCCTTATCTTTGTAGTAGGGTCTCAAATAACTAATATGAAAGGTGGGGTGGAGTTTCATCTGTTCTAGCAAAATTAACCTGTACGCAACAACTTTTATTTTCTCCCTAACTTCGAAAGACCTACCATACTTTGGTATCAACCCTTGTTGAGTCAATCCACATGTATTTTTCTTCTAGATCTAAGGTGTTAATTTCAACAACACCTTGTCACCTACATCAAATTCCAGGGGCTTTCTCTTCAAATCAGCATACTTCTTCATTCATTTGCTGGCCTCCCGTAAATTATCCTCAGCTTATTCCAATAACTCCTACCTTTCCATCATAAATTGGTAAGCTGTTGGATTTTTCCCTTTGATTTCTACACTGAAATCTCCATAGGAGTTTGGGGTTATACCCCAAGCACCAGCTTGAAGGGGCTTGCCTTTATCGTAGATGATTTGTGGAGGTTGTAGCAAAATTGATCACTGTCCAGCAACTTTAACCAATTTCATTGCGTAGCTGTCATGTAGTGCTGTAAGTATTCCTCAAATAATGCATATTCTCTCTGTTTTCCCATCAGTTTAAGGATGGTTAGCCATGAAAAACTTCAGTTGCATCCCTATCATATTAAAAAGAGCTATCCAAACTTACTAATGAAACGTGTGTCATGATCACTAACAATGTTTGTTGGGACCCCAAAGTATTTCACCACGTTATCATAAAACATCCTCCCTGCCACCTCTATTGTACAAACTGATAGAGGGTAACAAACACTATATATTTGGAGAGCTTATCCATAACCACTATTATCGCATTCATATGATCCACTTTTAGAAATCCCATGATGAAATCCATCGAGACAAAAAGTTAAAGACTTGTCTTCTGCCATTGTCATCGTAGACAATTTGGTTGATTTCAAGGTAGTGACACGAGATGGAGTTGTTCTCATCTCTTTAAAATTTAAAAACAGGGATAAAAGGGATGGGAAAAGTAAGAACAAGAAGCTTGGTGGGGGTGGGTTCAGACCTTTTATGGATAAGGGAAAGGCCAAGCAAATAGATGCATCGATGAAAGAAGCCAAGCCAAATGCTGGATGTTTCATATGTGGAGGGTCGTTTATGCTAAAGAATGTTCTAAGAGAGAAAAATTAAATGCCATTTTGATCAACAAAAGTGAACTTGAAGAGATGGCCACACACATCAACCCAATACGTGTGTTGAACTGTTTGATTGTGAAAATAGAAGATTCAATGGACGCCAGCCCTGCCGACACTAATTTGGTGTGTCTAGATGCTTTGCGACAGGGAAAGTTTGGTGTTGTGGACACTCTAATGTATCTAAAAATTAGAGTGAACGATATAAAAATTAATGGTATGTTAGATTTAGGTGCAACAAACACATTTGTGGCTGACATGTTGGTGATGCAGTTGGGTTTGTGATTGAGTCCTAGTCAGACGACGATGAAGGTAGTGAATGTAAAGGCATAACGGATAATGGGAACTACTTATAGGGTGCCTTTGAAATTGTAAAAGTGGTAGGGGAAGCATGATTTGATGGTTGTGACCCTTGACAATTTTGACTTAATTCTTGGCCTAAACTTCTTGAAAAATGTAAAGATTGCGTTGATGTTATATTTGGGTGGGATTTTAATTGCTAGTGAAACATGCCTTAGTTTGGTGCTTGTTATAAGAATTCGGTGGTTGAGAGCAAGAAGGGCAGAATAACATGATTTTGGTCATTGCAAGTAGCAAAGCCTTGAGAAAAGGGTAACAAAGTATTTGTAGCAATAAAAGCTTGTTATAAGAATTCGGTGGTTGAGAGTAAGAAGGGCATAATAACATGATTTTGGTCATTGTAAGTAGCAAAGCCTTGAGAAAAGGGTAACGAAGTATTTGTAGCAATAACAATGGGTGGGGATTTAGGCCAAAGTGAGTAGGTGCCAGATGTCATTGCTAGAGTATTGAAGGAGTATAAGGATATTATGCCTCCTTAGTTGCCAAAGAAGCTTCCACTAAAAAGGGTTGTGGATCACTGAATTGACCTTATGCTAAGGACGACACCATCATCGCAACCCCCATATCGTATGTCACCTAGAGACTAGGGTAAATTAAGAAGATAGCTAAAGGAATTGATAGACACTAGGTTTGGGCGACTGTTTAAAGCTCCGTATAGTGCTCCTGTCCTATTCTAAAAGAAGGTTGATAGTAGTCTTTGAATATGTGTAGATTATTGTGCACTAAACAAGGTGATGATATAGAATAAGTATCCAGTGCTGCTGGTGCAGGACTTGATGGACAGGTTGAGTGGAGCTTTTATCTTCACAAAAATAGATTTGAGGTCTGGTTATTAGCAAATGAGGATTGCTGAAGGTGATAAACATAAGATGATTTGTATGATGAAGTATGGGTCTTATGAATTTCTAGTTATGCCATTCAGCTTAACCAATGCTCTAACTATATTTTGTAACTTATGAATGATGCATTATATGAGTTTTTGGATGATTTTGTTGTCATATATCTAGACAACATTGTGGTGTTCAACAGAAGCATAAATGATCTTATAACGCATCTTTCTAAGGTTTTGTCTCTGCTGAGGGAGCATGAATTATTCATCAAGAAGGAAAAATACGAATTCAAAAGTGCTAAGATTATGTTTTTAGGATATTTGGTATGCATAGACCAAGAGAGGATGGATTTAAAAACGGTACAAGTCATAATAGAATGGGCAGCCTTTACGATGGTATCGGATTTACAATCCTTTTTGGGATTGGATAATTATTATTGTCAATTTATCAAGGATTACAACAAAATGGCCACTCCCTTTTCTAACGTGTTAAAGAAAAATTGGAAATGGGACTGAATTGATGGGTGCCAATATGTATTCGAGAAATTGAAGAGGGCTGTTACGTTAGTGCCGGTGTTGAAGCTACCTAATTTTGAGAGATCATTTAAGGTGCACACATATGCTTCAGATAGCGCTATCAGACAAGTTCTGGTTCAAGAGGGACATCTAGTGGCATTTAAGAGTTGAAAGATTAATAAGGTAGATTAACGATATTCAACACACGAGAAGGAAATGATGCTAGCTATTCACTGCCTTGGTGTATGGTGAGTGTACTTGTTAGGGCTAAAGTTTGTTATAAAAACAGTTACTGTGGCCAATACATTCTTTAGAACACAGAAAAAGTTGTCACAACGGCAAACTCAATGGTAAGAGTGTGT